TTTATATAAAAATTATAAATAAAAAAAGTTATAATAAATAAAAAGAGTTATAATAAATAAATCTATAACGTAAAAGATTTAAAAACCATTTTTTTATAGATTTAATATATATTAATTATTAAAAAAAAATACTGCCTGTTTTATTTATTTTTAATGTTTGAGCTAATTTTTAAAAAAATTTATAAAAAAGTCTTGATTTTTAAAACTTATCTTATGTCAATGTTTAAAAACTTTTTTTTTAAAGTTTTTTTTTAAGAGCTATATATTAGCAGGTTTTTATATAATTTTGAAAGTTTAGGTGAAAGTTGTCTATTATCATTGGAAACATAGTTTAAATTTAGAAACAACATTGCTTATTTCTTCTAAATATGAAAAATGAGCTTATTATTTTTACTTTTTTCTACATTAATTCAGAAAGTTTTTTTCTACATAAATTGGAATGAAATAGTTGGAGTTCTACATTTGTTTTATATCAATAGATCCTCAAACTGATATTTAATATTAATAGATTGATATTAAATATCAGTTTAAGGATAAAATATCAGTATCAACGTTTGTTATCAAATTATGATTATCAAAATTATCAATATCAAAGATTGATATCAATAGATCCTCAAACTGCAACACCTGAAAGAAATCTTTTATAAAAAACAAAAATATTTTGACTTTTTAACAGCTTTTATATTCTTAAAAATTAAAAATGTTTTGATCTTAAGAGGTTAATTTATTTCAAAATTTAGAAACTGACGCAAATTTAAATTCTTTACAAACCAATATTATATTCCAATGAAATTTTTCCATTAACGTCTTAAAGAGACCAGACATGAATGTTTTATCACACAAAAATAATTAATAAAAATTGCACTTGCCCCCGGCCGGTAAGCCCTTCGGCCTCGAGTCCACCCCTTGTTGAGAGTAAATGTAAACCAGAAAAAAATCCATAGTATACAAGCATTGTAAGTTTTATTTTAGGAAAGGGGTTTTAAAAAAATTGACATAATTTTTAGGTAGGAGTCGGTCGAAAATTGACAGAATTTGACAAAAGGAGACGGATCAACCTGATAATCATATATAAAAATCACAATATTTTTTATTCTTGACACGTTTCGTAGTCTCGTTGCATTTTCAAAAGATTTAATTTACAATTAAAACTCTGGTAAATAAATTTAAAAACTGAAGACAATACAGAGAAAAATCATAATTTATGTTTGTAAAACACTAATTATGATTGCTTTTAGATTTTGAATACTGCTTCTACCATTAACAAATTAAAAATAAACACTAAATATTAAATGGGAAAATCCTAAATATAAATTTATCTAACTAACTTACTACATTATTATTATTATTTTAATATGTTCTTTATTTATTGTATGCATTCTTTTTCTTTTCTTTTTTTTTTTTTTTTTTAGCTCTAAAGACCCAAACCGAAAAAAATGCATAAAGTGCTTTTCAAAAGATGAACTGACGAATTTCTTAATTTTTTTTTGTTTTGTTGTGATAATTTGTCGGATGAGAACGCAAACGAGAAAAAACTTTTTAAGTATGGAAACATGCGTTATAAAAAGATCAACAATACGTTTACGTATGCCTTTAAAAAAACACATGTTTTAAATTAATATTAGTAAAATAACTTTTTAGTTTCTCGTTAAAAATTGTATTCTGTATAAAAGTTTATTTCTGAGAATTTGTAAGACCTTTAAATTTAAAGACCTAAGATAATCCTACATTGTATTTTAAGGTGAGCGAAAGATACTATGACTCAAAATGATGTTTTGATTTTTCAAAAAACGAAGACCAGATATATTACTGAATTAGAGAGAAATGTAGGAGAGTACTTCTACATTGACTAATTTAGGGATTACATGCAAGGGAATGCTGCTACATCGACTGAGGGTTTGGGTTAAGACAGGTATAGATTAATCGATGTAGCAGCACTCTACTACATTTCTCCTCAAGTTTGTAAAATATCTGGTCTTTGTTTTAAAAAAAAATCAAAACCTCATTTTGAGTCATAGTATCTTTCGCTTACCGTATTTTAATTTATAAAGGTCGATATTTTTTAATAAATATATCACTTTTTTATCGCGCTTAACTTGTCTTATTTCGCGTTTATTGGTTATAAATTTTTTAAATGTTTATAATTTTTTGAAACTTTTATAGCAAAAAAAAAAAAAAATCATTTTAAAAAAAACTTCCAGCGAATCTATTTTTATACATAAACATGAGAGTTTGCGAGAAAAGATCACTGGAAATTCGCTGGAAAAGTTCACTGGAAGTTCGCTGGAGTTTGGAACATGTTCGCTGGAAATTTCCAG